TTGCCTATTATCGTTAGCATTTGAAAAAGAAACATTAACTTTGGCAGGATATTCATTTTAATCACTGAAATTCACCTCCTTATTGATAACTTTAACCTTTACCAAATCTCTAATTGATTTTTAACTTCTTTCCAGGTCTTATTATAATTATCTTCAAACAAATTGATATTTTTCATTGCTCCAAATTCTTTTTGCTCTGTTTGTCCATATTCTTAACCACCACCTTAGTTTTCTCTTTCTTTATCCTAAATCCTGCCACCTTGCTAAATTCCTCCATCTTTCTCAGCAACTTGCTTATACTTCCTGTTGGTTCTTCTATCTTTACAATCATATCATCGGCAAATGCTCTTATTCTATATTCGACTCTTCCTAGTGTTATACCTCTAATCTCCTCCTCTGACCTGATAACTTGATTTAGTACCTCCAATATTAAAACAAATAACAAGGGAGATAGGGGACACCCGTGTCTTGTCCCCCTTTCTATTTTAAAGTATTCAGTCATCTCCCCATTCATTATTAAATTTACCTTTTGGTCTTGATAAATAGCTCTGAATCCAGTTGATATCCTTGTTCCCACTTCCATCTTTTCAATTATCTTCTCCACAAACCTCCAGGATACCTTATCGAAGGCTTTCTCAGCACCCACAAAAACAGATGCAGCCTTCTTCCCTGGGTTCCAGTCAAGATATTCAATAGCATCAATCACAAGTCTCACATTATTGCTCATCTTCCTTCCCGGTAAGAATCCTGTCTGATCTTGGCTAATGACTTCGTTCAACACTGTTTTTAATCTCTGGGCCAATATGTCCGCATATATCTTGTAGTCATTATTAAGTAAAGATATTGGTCTATCATTATTTATATTCTCTTTGTTCTTGTCTTGTTTAGGGTTTACTGTTATATGTGCTAATTGCCATGACTCCGGGATTCTTCCTTCTGCCATTATTTATTATGAATACTTTCAGCGAAAGTAGCCACTACTTCCTCCATTTTTTTTAATGCAAGGCGGTAAGGGCATCCGGGCCCAGCGACTTCCCCAATTCGCTTTGGAAATAGCCTGCTGTACTTCCATCATAGAAACTGGGGCAGATATGCATTTTTTCTATTTAGATATGCATTTTTTTCTATTCCCACTCTGGTAAGTCTTTCCCCTGCAGATAATTTTTTATATCTTCTTCTGTTTTCTTGCCTATATTACATAAATTTTTGAAGTGGTTGATAAAACACTTGTTTATTTCTTCTCGTTTTCTTGCCGTCTTTGATTTTATCTATTAATCTCTCTTTCTGTCTCTTCTTCAGTTGCCATGCCAGTATTTTGCTGGGCCTATTTGCAAATTCAAAGGATCTCTGTTTCATCCATCTTATGTTATTTTGGATTTCAATGCTTAACAACTATGAGAATTGTGTTTGTAATAACTTGATTTTGGTGCTACCTTTTTATTTTTTGGTTGCTTCGCTAGTATTTTTTCATTGCTCGCTATTCTTCTCTTAACTGCTCTAAGTTCCTCTCATAAGCTCTCTTTTCCCCTGCATTTTGCTGTATATAGAAGCCTCTAAGAAATGCTTTAACTGGCATCGCAAATTATTCTTATATCAGTGTCTTGTGATTTATTGATTTCAAAGAATTATTTCAACAATTCTTGTGCTTTAATCACCAGATTTTCATCGTTTAATAAGTTATCATTTAATCGCCATCTTTTATTACCCTTTTGTTTATTTTCTAATTCTAATATCACTGGATTATGATCTGTTATTGTCCTTGGGTGAATCTCTGTTTTTTTTTAAATTTTTTATTATTAAACTATTTGAGATCTAGATTGCATAAATTCCTCCCCGATGATTGTTAGCTTCTGAAAAGAGTGTGAACTGTTTCTCCAGTGGATTTCTCTCTCTCCATGCATCCCTTAGGTTTAAGCTGTCCACCATTTGAAAAAATGTATGTGGTAGTCTCTCTTTTCTAGATATTCTGTCCCTTTCTGTCCTGTCCATTTCTAATGAAGGGACTTCGTTGAGGTCCCCCACCTTAAGGGGGGAATCCATTCTCAGGCCAATCAGCTTTCCTCAGAAGAGGAGCTGGAGGGGGGAAAGTCATCCCCTTCGTTTCCAGTGGTCTCAGAAGGAGGGAGAGACACAGACACAGAGCAGATTAGAGAGGAATTACCTAGCTACAAGAAAATGACAAGAGAAACAGACTCAGCTGGCCCTGAAGCAGGAAGACAGATTTCCTCTGAGTTCATTGCCGTGAAGAAGAGTGGACTCTGAGAGGAAGATGTCCTACACTCCATACATCTAAATGGGTTCTCCCGCTTGAATGTCTGATATTTCTTAAACATTACATTATAGCTAAAGCACTTTCTGCAATCCTTCCATTTAAAGTTATTGATGGTATGTAGGGTGTCAACTGTTAAAGTTCTTCCTGGCCACGAGTCTGTTGATGTAGGACTTCCACAAGGACTGAGCCTCAATATACTTTCCTGACGTTTATGTGGTTTGTCTTTTGTGTGAGTTTGTTGATGTATATCAAGGGTTCCACGCTGACTGAAGCTTCTTCCACATGCCATACATTTAAATGGTGTCTTCCCTGTGTGTCTGCTGATGTTTTCTAAGATTTCCACTCTGACGGAAGCTTTTTCCGCACTTCATGCATTTAAATGGTTTCTCCCCTGTGTGAGTCCGCTGGTGTAATTTAAGGTTTCCATTCTGACTGAAGCTCTTTCCGCACTCAATGCATTTAAATGGTTTTCCCCCTATGTGAGCCCGCTGATGTCTTCTAAGGCCTGAATCGTAACTGAAGCTCTTTCCACATTCCATGCATTTAAATGGTTTCTCCCCTGTGTGAATCCGTTGATGTTTTTTAAGGTCTGCATTCTGACTGAAGCTCTTTCCGCACTCAATGCATTTAAATGGTTTTTCCCCTGTGTGAGTCCGTTGATGTATTCTAAGGGCTGCATTGAAACTAAAGCTCTTTCCACACTCCATACATTTAAATGGTTTCTCCCCTGTGTGAGTCCGTTGATGTTGTCTAAGGCTTCCACTATTACTAAAGCTGTTTCCACATTCAATACATTTAAATGGTTTCTCCCCTGTGTGAGTCCGTTGATGGTTCCTAAGGTTTCCATTATTACTAAAGCTGTTTCCACACTCCATACATTTATATGGTTTCTCCCCTGTGTGAGTCCGTTGATGGTTCCTAAGGTTTCCATTCTGACTGAAGTCCTTTCCACACTCAATGCATTTAAATGGTCTCTCCCCTGTGTGAGTCCGTTGATGGTTCCTAAGGTTTCCATTCTGACTGAAGTCCTTTCCACACTCCATGCATTTAAATGGTCTCTCCCCTGTGTGAGTCCGTTGATGGTTCCTAAGGCTTCCATTTTCACTAAAGCTCTTTCCACACTCGATACATTTAAATGTTTTCTCCCCGGTGTGAGTCCGTTCATGTGTTCTAAGTTTTCCATTATCACTAAAACTCTTTCCACACTCGATACATTTAAATGGTTTCTCCCCGGTGTGAGTCCGTTCATGTGTTCTAAGTTTTCCATTATCCCTAAAGCTCTTTCCACACTCTATACATTTAAAAGATTTCACCCCTGTGTGAGTCTGATGTCTTCTTAGGTTTCCACTATCATGAAAACTTTTTTCACACTCCATGCATTTAAATGGTTCCCCCCCTGTGTGACTCCGTTTGTGCAATTTAAGGTTTCCACTATGACTGAAGTTCTTCCCACACTCCCTGCACTTAAAACGCTTTCTCTCTGTGTGAGTCCGCAGGTGTGTTGTAAGTTTTGCATTGAAAGAGAAGCTCTTTCCACACTCCATACCTTTAAATGGGTTCTTTCCTTTTTGTGTTCGTTGATGTGAACTATGTGTGCTCATTCAGTGAAGCATATTCCACATTTCACACATTTTAATGGCTATTCCTAATGAAACGAAAGGTGCCCTGTCCCCTGCAATTCTGTCTTCTCCATCACCTTTTTCAGAGTGGGCATAAAGGAAA